TAAACAGTATTTTCTAAGAACAGAAAACGCTATCGAGGATCCTTCGTGGTGTAATTTACGTCTGCCCATAACCCTTAATTTTGTCCTTCAAAACTTTTTACAAATAATTTTTGGATAATTTAAATTGGTGATTTTAAGACCTTGGGCGTGATTCATACATGTTTCATTTGGGAATAGAAAAAATAGAAGAGATCATAATGACCAATTTTCTCAACGATCAGAAACACCTAGAACAGGCCGTTCTAGATGAAACTAGTACCTCTTCAAGGGTCAATTTTGAGTCCTTTGATTTCATTATAGATTCTTCATCTGTGAATAGAAATTAAAGAATATTTTTTCATTGGCCTTTGTTCCAAAGAAGTCAAAGGCCTATCCTTCGTGGTTAAATATGTCCATACATGAAATCAATTGTTTCCAAGGAACAGAAATACCAATATTCTGTCATTAAGTTTCGCATATGAAGATAAAAATAAGAGCCAAAGGCCTATCCCATGTCCTTCACGGTGAAATTTGTCCTTACAACTTACCTTTATTTTGTAAGAACAACAAAATTCAGCCTATGCAGCAATTAAATTAAATCGGTCATTTTGAGACCTTAGGCTTCATCCTATACGTTTTATGTCTGAATAGGAAATGAAGCGACCTCCTTTATGAACATGTTTCTAGAAGAACATAAAATTGTATTACCTATCCTTCGTAAAAAAATCCTTTTTCTCAATTTCTGCTACCATAGAAATTCAATAAAAAAAAATATTATTATAAATTGCCCCATTTGAGGCATAAGACATGATTATACGTGTTTCACTTGTTAAAATTAAGAGCATATCATAATGAACATTATTCCCAAAGAACCCAAAGCTCTAGCGCATGTCCTTCGTGTTGAAACCTGCCCTTACAAGTTAACATAATGGAATTTTTCGTATTCAAACTGAAAATGCAGCCTAAAAATATGCTTCAAAAATCATTAAGTAATGAGCCATTTGCCATAGGCTAACTTAACTAAAATTGAAAAAAAAAATAAAAAATTCAATTTTCTGAATATTTCATAAAAATTCTAAATGGTTAATCAGGGTATTTTGTGTACAAAATTAATTTGAGGAAATGTCATTGAAATTCCATGGCTCCGAAGACCAGATTTTATTTTTAATTTTCAAAATGTTGAGAAGTTCTATTTTATCGAATAATTTTTTAAAACAAATTAAATAGTTGATTAATATTTTCTTATTACTAACAAAATTATCTCCAATTAAAAAAATATAAAATATCTCCATTAAAAAAATATTACAATATATTTTCATAAAAAATAATAATGACTTAAAACAACATATCCCTCGTTTTAGTATTATTTTAAATTAAATTAAAAAAAAAACAATAATAATTTATTTTTATAAATCATATACATTCTTAAACTGTATTTCCAACTAATAATTCCAATGCTTAATAATATCTATAAATAAATAGTTAACTATATATTATAAATATTTTTTATACAAACGAAAAAAAAATAGATTGATTATTTTTTAAGTATTATTATTAAAAAAAAAAACAGAGAAAAACAAAAAAAAATAAATAAAAATTTTAAATTTATGTTGTTAGTTATAATTTCTTTTCTAACTTTGTATATTTTATTATTTTAATTTGCTTTAATTTATTTATCTCTTTTTAGTTATTTAATACATTTGTGTGTTTTTATTTTCAAAAAAAAAAAAAAAAATGTTTTTTTTATTTTATTTAAAAATAAATATTAATTCTTTGAAGTCATTTCCATTTTATGCAATTTTTTATTTAGTTTAAAAAATATATATTTTTTTATGTTATACTGCTTGAATTTGCAAACCATTTCTTATTATTTTATAATTTTTTCGTAATAAAGAGTTTTTGTTTTTTTATATATATTTTCCCATTAATTAACATTGTTTATTTTTTAATTAAATGTGTTTATATATCTATATTTTAATTCTTACAATTTAATGCTTATTTAATTTTAATTTAAATTTAAAAAAATAAAATTTTATATAAAAAATGAAATTGAAAACAAAACCATTGCGTATCATTTTGCTTTTGTTGTTGTCCACGTATATTTTGTTTTGTTCATACGTTTGTATTTTTTTTTTTTGCTTTTTTCATTTTTTGATATTCAGTCCAGCAAAACAAAACTTAAATCAATAAAAACAATAAAAATTAAAATTGACCACAGGACCTACGAAAGTCCTTCGTAATTACCCACAAAAAATAAAAACAAATTTAGTAGATTTAAATGTCCCACTTTGAGGTCTTAAACATGCTTATACATAATTCATCTGTGAATAGCAATTGTAGATCATGTCTTAATGAATAATATTTCCTAAGATCAAAACCCGCTAAGGCGAGCGCTTTATGGTGGAATTTCCGATTCCCCACAACCTTCAGTTGTATACTTTAAAAATTTTTATAACTCATTTTAGTTAATTTAAATTGACGATTTTAAGGCCATGGACGTGATCATATATGTTTCACTCGGAAATAGAAAATGTAGAATAGATCTTAATGAACAAACTTCTCAACGAACACAAATACCTAGCACAGGTCCTTCAAGGTGAAACTAGTACATCTTCAATGGTCCATTTTGAGTCCTTAGACCTTTTTACAGGTTCTTCACCTGTATTAAATTTAAATGGACCATTTTGAGGTCTTAAACATGCTTATACACAATTCACCTGTGAATAGCAATTGTAGATCATTCCTTAATGAACAGTATTTTCTAAGAACAGAAACCGCTAAGGCAAGTCCTTTGCGGTGAAATTTGCGTCTCCCCATAACCTTAATTTTTTTACTTCCAAACTTTTTTATAACTCATTTGATTTAATTTAAATTGACGATTTCAAGACCATGGACGTGATCAAACATGTTTCACTCGGGAATCTTTATGAACGATTTTCTCAACGATCAGAAACACCCAGGACAGGTCCTTCAAGATGCAACTAGTACTTCTTCAATGGTACATTTTGAGCCCTTAGACCTCTTTACAGGTTCTTCACCTGTATTAAATAAAATGAACCTATATGAGGTCTTAAACATGTTTATACATAATTCACCTGTGAATAACAATTGTAGATCATTCCATATTGAACAGTATTTTCTAAGACCAGAAAGCGCTTACGCGGTTTCTTTGGGGTGAAATTTCCATTTCCCCATAACCTTAAATTTTATACTTTAAAACTTTTTTATAACTCATTGTAGTTAATTAAAATTAGTTATTTTAAGGCCATGGACGTGATCATACATGTTTCACTCGGAAATAGAAAACGTAGAAGAGATCTTAATGAAAAAATTTCTCAACAATCAGAAACATCTAGCACAGGTCCTTCAAAGTAAAAACTAGTACTTCTTCAATGGTAAATTTTGAGTCCTTAGACATCTTTATATAATCTTCACCTGTATTAAATTTAAATGGACCATTTTGAGGTCTTAAACATGTTTATACATAATTCACCTGTGAATAGCAATTGCAGATCATTACTTAATGACCAGTATTTTCTAAGAACAGAAACCTCTAATGCGAGTCCTTTGTGGTGAAATTTCCATCTCCCCTTAAACCTCAAAATATTTTAAAAACCCATTTTAGTTAATTTAAATTGACGATTTTAAGGCCATGGACGTGTATGTACATGTTTCACCCGGGAAAAGAAAACGTAGAATAGGTCATTATGAACAATTTTCTCAACGATCAGAAACATCTAGCACATGTCCTTCAAGGTGAAACTAGTCCATCTTCAATGGCCAATTTTTAGCCCTTAGACTTTATTGTAGATTTTTCACCTGTGAATAGAAATAAAAGAGAATTTTAATGACCAATTTTTGTAAATGACACCAACACCAAATGAAGAGCATTCCCTAATGAATAGTTTTTCCACAAACCCGGAAACACCTATTGCAGGTTCTTCGTGCTAAAATCGGACATTCTTCAATTTTGCTCACAAAGAAGTTCAAACGTTTCTATCGACCATTTTGGGACCTCAAAAATATTTGTATTTCTGTTTCTCATGTGAAGGGAAAATGAAGAGCATACCATGACGATACCATAAGTGAATTATCACAGATCCTTTGTACTCAAATATCTGCTCAAGAAGTCATATTTGGCCATATGTATATCGTTTGACAGCCTAAAAGTATGCAATAAAAATTTTATCATTTTTGTCAGGTGAAGGGAAAATAAAGGGCATATCTTGACGACCCCAGAAACAGAATCACCTATCACAGATCCTTTGGTTTGGGAAGTCATTTTTGGTCATATGTATGTCGTCTGGCAGCCTAAAAGTATGCACTAAAAAATTTATAATGTTTCTCAGGTGAAGGGAAAATAAAGAGCACACCTTGACGACCCCAAGATCTGAAACACCTATCGCAGATCCTTCGTGGTAAAACATCTGCTCAAGAAGTCATATTTTTGGTCATATGTATATCGTTTGGCAGCCTAAAAGTATGCATTGAAACCCGTTTATCATATTTCTCATGTGAAGAAAAAAATAAAGGGTATACCTTGACGACCCCAAGAACAGAATGTCCTATCACAGGTCCTTCGTGGTCAAATATCTGCTCAAGAAGTCATATTTGGTCATGTGTATATTGTTTGACAGCCTAAAAGTATGCAATAAAAAATGTTTCTCAGCTGAAGGGAAAATAAAGAGCATACCTTGACAACTCCATGAACTGAATCACCTATCACAGGACCTTTGAGGTCAAATATCTATCTGCCCAAGAAGTTTTATTAGAAGATATCGTTTGACAGCCTAAAAGTATGCATTAAAAAGTTTCAATATTCAATATGCTGGACTGAAGAAAAAAATCCTCCTTCAATTCATATAAAAAAACTCGTCCCTGCTTTTGCACGGCTTCAATTCCCAGCCATTTTCAATTTTTTTTTATTTTGTTTCACATTAAATATTGAACCTTATAATTAATTGCAATACCATTTTTTATTTTCAAATATTAATATTTCAATTTTGTTTGTTCTATTACAGCCGTTTGAAAATCTTACAACATCAATTATCATCGCCAAAATCGTAGTAGGACACCCCAATATTCGTCATCATTCTCGTCACAGTTTTCACAGCGTCTAAGTAATCGTTTGCTCAACAGTTTTATACGGCGTTTCAGGGCCAAACGAAGTAATGAGTGAAAGTTTTCTTTTAGTTAACAAATTTTCAAATACAAAAAAAAAATAATAATAATAATAATGGTACTTAAACATAAAATGCATTGAACGAATTTAATTTTTAGTTTTTTAAGTAAAAAAATATATAAAAGGGAGAAGGAAGGTTTTAAATTTTAAAAATAATAATAATAAATTTAAATATTTCAATATTTTGTGTGAATTATTTTTTAATGCCAGTTTTTTGTTAATTAAAAAAATAAGCCGTTATTTGGAAATATATTTTTTGTTTTACAAAAACTGGTTTAAAGAATAATATTTAAAAATATTAACATTAAAGAATAGGGTTTCAAATAAAAATAATTAATAAATAAATAAAAAAAAAATAAAAAAATTAATAAATAAATAAAAAAATATATAAAAAATTAAAAATATAAAATAAAAAATATATGCACTTCCTCTCTTGATAATTAAATTAATTTTTTTATATATATAAAAAATATACATTTGTTATACTAAGCGAATTTTGTTGATTAAGTTACATTCCTATAAATATTTTGTTTTCTTTATTTATTGTTTTAGTTATTAAAAATAGGAAAAAAACAAATTTTATATAAACATACAAAAAAAAAACATACTAACCCAAAAGCTTTAATAATTTAAAGCATTTATAGAATTATTAAATATAATTATTTGTTTTAAACATCGCACAGTATACACAAAACAATTGGCTGCCAATAAAAAAATAAAATTTTTTTCAAAACATTTTTTTCAATACAAGAAATATTTTATAAAAAAAAATTAAAATACTTAAATGACTTACAAAATAATGAAATTATTTTCAAAACAATTTTTTTTTCTCAATACAAGAAATATTTTATATAAAAATATTGTCTAGGAAAAAATACAACTTCAAAATATTTTCGAAAAATTATAGAATGTAAAATTGTGGATACTTTACAAAGAAATAAATTAATAAAAAAAAAAACAGAATTTGAGTTTTGTTGCCAAACCAAACCAAGGGTTGTCACTTCCAAGAAGGTTACAAAATATAATTGAAAGAAATATTGATAAACAAATAAACAATATAATTTTTATTTTAATAAATATTATATACATATCTAACATTTTCGTAATGATTTCAAAATTATTTCAAAAATAATTTTCATAGCGAGAAAAAAAGTCAAGTTTAAACAAATGTTTTTATTTTATTTAATAAAATAGTTTTTAAATGTGTTCAAATAAAATATATTAAAAAAATTTGGAATAAAATTAAAAAAAAACTTGATTAAAATATTAAATATTATTAAAAAAATAATAATAAAAAAACAATATTTTACTTATTTTGATATTTTTAAAAATTAAGAAAAAAATCGAAAATAATTTGAAAATGAAAAATATTAAATTAAAAAATTTTGTTATAAAAAGTGTGGCGGAAACTGCCGCTCCCCCATTCAAAATGGCACTGTGCTTTAATTTTAGTTAAATTTAATTTTAATTACAATAAAAAAACGAAAAACAATCCTTAACAATAAAAAAACAAATTAAATAAACTAAAAAAAATAAAATTTCAAATAATCAAAAAATAAGACTTACAAAACAAATATGCAATAAAATAAATGACATTATAAAAAGAGGTGCCTTGTAAATACTTTAGTTCATTTATAGTAATGATAAAATTATAGTAATGATAAAAATATATAAATTTTAAATTGTATTTTTTTTTTGATAAATATAATACTTTTATAAGTACAATAAAATTTAGCAATAGAAATAACAGCTAGAATATCTGACAAAAATATATATAAAAATATATATTTCAATATTTTTAGAATACACTTACAAACGATATATATCAATCATACAACATCAATCATATCTTTAAAAATTAATACATTTTCATATCATTATTTTTTGAAAAAAGAAACAACTCAAAAATCATAAGGAATTACACATATAGTGTTCATCATGACGAAATCAAAATTATATTATAACAAATTACTATTATATATCAAAATTAAATTAAAAAAAATTATTAAAACCAAAAAACATTTTATAATCTTGCATGAAAGAAAAAAAAAAATAATAAATATTTTGATAATATCTAATAATTAATATTTTTATTTTGGAAATATATCTAAAAAATAGGTAAGTATATTTTCAAGATCGGGAAGATTGTATTTAAAAAAAATCAAATCTGTAGTTCTCAAGTTCCACAGTTGATCCAAGTCTGCTGCACGTCTTTCACGTTGATACCATCAGCTTGGACTTCTCGCCGCTTACTGCCAGACCCACTTTGGCAGACTCCTTCTCAATTTGTTCAAAGGTGGCTGTTACCGCTTTCAGTGTTCGACTTATTATGTCGATGTCATCGGCGAGTAACATGTGTTGTTTGGTGTACAGAGTGCCATTTCTGTTCACCTTTGCGTCTCGTATTACCTTTTCCAGCAGGATGTTAAAAAAATCAGACGACAAATTGTCTTCTTGACTGAATCCTCGTTTGGTATTGAAGGGCTCCGATAGGTCCTTTCCGACTTTAACTGCTGACCTTGTGCCACTTAAAGTTATCCTGCATAGCCGTATTAATTTTGCAGCAATTCCAAACGCAGACATGGCTTTATACACATCTGAACGGATAGGGCAATCGAATGCGGCTTTAATAGATGGAATGTGTAGATGCGTTTTTCGTGGGCTATTTTCCAGGATATGGCGCAGAGTGAAAATCTGGTCAATGGTGGACTTGCCAGGTCTGACGCCGCATTGGTATGGTCCAATAATGTCATTGACCATTGGCTACAGTCGTTCACACACATCACGCTGGATATCACTTTGTAGGCGATGGGAAGGTGACTTATTCCTCTATAGTTGGCACCAGGGATGGTCCGTGTGACGAATTTTTAGGTTTTCGATTGTCAAAAAGGTGTAAACGTCGAAAACGTCATATACCTGTATAAAATGTAAAAAATGTAGTAAACGCCATTTATTTCAATATTATCACCATATACAATTATTTTCACGAATATATATTATTTTTACATATAACTGACTATTCCTTACTAGAACTGATAAAAATTTCTAAACTTTTTTGAGAAGAAAATTTTGAAATTTTATATGGGTTTGAGTAAAGCATACGTAATTTCCAAATTTATTAATGGAAATAGCTATTTTGTCAAAAACCTAATGGTTTTGGGTAGGTTTCCGACGTTTCTGACGTATGTATTATACGTCGGAAATGTATGTCATTTACGTCACTGTTTCTGACGGACCATCTCTGGTGGGCACATATTGTCTTGTCTCCTTTTTTGTACACGGGACTCAGCATCCTGTCTGAGGTTCCAATCCAATTGGGCATGTATTCCTCTAGCCAAATTGTACTAATCAGCTGGTACACGCTCCTTACCAGCATCTGACCACCAGTCTTAAATGGTTCAGTTTGTAACCTGCTGCTTTATTATTCTTCAGCCGATTGATTGCTATTCTGACTTTATCTTGGCTAGGTGGTATACACTCTATACCATCATCTATTATTGGTTCTGGGGTATCCACATCACCGCTTCTAGTTGATACCAGAAGTTTTTCAAAATGCTCCTTCCATATCCTCAGCACGCTGTCTGTATCTGTCACCAGGTTTTCTTCTTCATCTCTACAGGAGGATGTGACTGCACCAAAGCCTTCGGTTTGGTGTTTTACCCGTTGCAACGCGTTGGTAGAATTTTCGGACTTCATTCTGTACATCTCGATTTACTCACGCTCCCGTTTTTCTTGTTCTATCTTCTTTTTTCTGAAAACACGTTTCTCTTCTCTCCTTTTCTCCCGATAATTCTCCATCTCACTGCGTGTTGGTACTGTCCGCAGGGTTGCCCTATACGCTGCGTTTTTCCACATCAGTAGCATTACGACACTCCTGATCGTACCATGGGTTTCTTGATGGTGGTCTTTGGTACCCAAGTGTTGCTTTTGCTGTAGTTTGTTGGGAGTGGGCAATTCTCTGCCACTGTGCTTCTATAATATTATCGGGACAAGAAGTGATTTCTTCAAGCATATGGGTAAGTTGAGCGGAGTAGGCCTCGGCTACCTGTTGTGTTTGCAGCTTTTCGACGTCGAGTTTCCGTGTTGTATTAGATCGCACCTTTGCTGCAACATTAAGACGGGTGCGTACCTTGGCTGCCACAAGGTAATGGTCCGAATCGATATTCGCTCCTCGGATCGATCGAACGTTTAAAACACTGGATCAATGCCTTCCGTCCATCACAACATGATCGATTTAATTTCTCGTTGTTCGATCGGGAGACATTCAAGTGGGCTTGTGTATATCGAGATGCCTTTGCCATGTTAAAGCCAATCGGAACCGTTGCTTGGTATCTATCATCCTTTACGCCATCCACGTCTATTTGTAGCACTCGAAAAATTTGGTTTAAAAAATCCACGCCTATTTGTAGCACTAGAAAACCAGTAAGGAAAGTTGTAAAGTCGGACTGGGCCGACTATATGATACCCTTCACCACTTTGGAGATATTCTACATAAGTATCATTACAGATGTCGCAATTTGACATGAAATTGAACGAACTTAAAAATGCGATCTTTATCTATAAGTAAGCCGACTAACATCAATCCTTACACATGTCATTCTGCAATCTATTCCATATTTTGTAAATAGACTTTAAGCAAACTTTAAGCACGCTATTTGGTATGCTTCACTGTTTCAAAAGTAATATCAATCAAGCACCCATTGATGATTTTTTTGGTCGAAATTATATATGGAAGCTATGCTATATCTAAATCTGACCCGATTTCAAAGAAACTTGCCCGATATTAATTTATATTAATTTCAGTACGTTTTGTCAATCGGCAAATCGAAAGATATATAGGGACTTTGGAGACCCATTTACCTTAAATCGGACGAAAATATATATCGGAACTATATATAAATCTGACGCGATTTTCTCGAAACTTAATTATTGACCTAATTCAGTACTTTATGCCAAATTTCGTGCAAATCGAATGATATATA